AATGTTTTCATGTACATTACTTAAACTAGATTAACTTGATGAAGGCTTTGAATGAAATCGTCTGGGCTTAGAAATTAGGATTAGATTTTACAACATAAGTGGAAAGCAAAACACATTAAATGTCGTAACCTTTCCACCCAGGGTTCAAAGCAGTAAACCATATATACATGCGCAGTACACAATGTAGAAGAATGTATGTTGCGTTTATTTCAGAACTGCTATTCCAAATACTCTAATATAATGGTTGCACTTATCATGACCACACAGGATGTGAACAATACTTGGTTTGGCATAGGGGCATATTTTTCTGTGTTTAATCATCAGATTTTGTGACATACTGAACGAATAAGTGAGATTTGATATTTTTTTAACTAAGAAGCTACGAAAGTAATTGAAAACAGTGATAGTTTTGTCACTGAACTTTTTAATCATACACTGCCACTTTTTTCTTTACTACTTTCAAAACTTACGCTATAAAATTACACATGAATTGGGAAGGGCTTTCCTTAAGTTATGGTAGTATTTGTTTTCAATATAATACGCTCTCATCCGAGGATTAAATAGACTTATTATTGTACGCAATTCTACAGAGTCAGTACAGAGAACTGCGAATCTGTATAATACCTAGATAACCCCGTATGCACCCAGAAATAAATAAGTATTTGCAATGAAACGGACAACTATAATAACTACATTTATAAATATATAGAGAGAGCCATAGTAACGATTGATAGTGGATTGCAAATGAACTATTATTTAAACAATCTGGCATATGAATATACCAGACGTACGTTTGCCTGTGTTCCGATTTGTAGAATGGAATGCAGTCTTACCAAACACAACCTATGCATTTACGAGTTGAAACGAACTGACTAGCTTATATGATGTGACAAAATGATATCATACACAATTTATTCCTTGCATTGAAGTTCGACAGCACAGTTTGACATACATATGCGTGAGAATTTACATATAATACAGTGATTTACGATAACACTCAAAACCGTTCTTAGCGTAATTGGTTATATTTCTAGCATAAAGGATTCACATTTGATCACTCTTGCAGGTGAGACAAGGAGATCTAAATTATTAACTATTTTTGTTTACTTCTAGCCTGGTCACCTTAATAGACCTTACTATGGGAGATTACAAAATATATGTACTCGCTGTGGTATATCTAGTCTGTAAATGTCAATGCTGGTCGGGTGCGGACTATTGGAACAGTAGATATACTGGAAAAGGAACTTATATTCCTTATACTGGTGTGTATACAGTTTGGTATGACGTGCCTCAAGACATTGCATGTTTCAGTTAAAATTCAAAATTAGTAGATGAAGACACAATAGTAGCATGACATTGATTTTATTTCTTATACCTGAAAAAATATATGAATACACTGTAAGCAACTTTATTTTAAATTTTACAGCTGAATTCATAATAGCTTACTGCAAACTGTGTCACCTAATATGAAGTTATTTCAAGTTATAGTTTAAAAACACGTGCCTATTATAACACGATTGTGTTTTTTATCCATAGTCTTTACTCTGTTGTTCTGTATGTGTAAATGAAAAGTTGTTGAAACTGAACCTGGAATTTATATATCTTTTTTGCACGTGTATACACAAACATAATACTCAAGGGTCATCAATAAAGCAAAAATACTTTATCAGAATCCAAATCCAAGTGTTACAGGTAACATGATTAAATGTACATTTAATTAGATACGTGGTATGGTTTATGGTCATTATCATATGGATATGGTAGATACACTGGTGGCACTTATTGTAATGGGTGTACTTGTAATGATAATACAAGGACTGTAACGCAATGCATTGGGCCTACTGTGTAAGCAATGACATGGTTTATTCATTATAATATTCATATTGTGTGTTGATAAACAATTAGTAGCAGATATGAATTAGTCATTTAGTTAAAAAACAACAGAATGCAAATAAGCAAGCAAATAAGTCAATAAGCAAACACCAACAACATATAGCACGATCAATTCAAAATAGAACTTATGGAAACCAACCAAGAAGGGTGTCGAGAGTGAACACAAAAGACAGGAACAGAGTGGTGATATTCTTGATTCGGAGTAATAGCGTAAAATGCGTTGTTTACTTCTATCCTGCAATATATCACCCAGTCATCTCTTCACTCTTTATTTGAACATGTAGGTTCATACAAAATAAACCTTATCTAACAGAGGTGAAAGCTGATATGTTTCCAAGCCCTGCAACACTGATATCCATGTAAGTAGAATTGCATGATGAGATGCAATTCATTCATTATCTCAAAATACTCGAAAGTATTGAATAATATTATATTTGTGATTTCATATCAGTAAAGAGCAATACAATCTTCAAGTAAATAATTCTATCAGCATAACTTAAGTTACCAAATATTATAGAAATTGAGACCCCCCATGTGTCATATATATACGAATATTTTGTAACATTTCATGATTATGGTTTCAGCTCTTTTGTCAATGTCGGTCTGCTACGAATAGAAAATAACACATTTGACCAGATGGCCAGTTTAGCCAGTCTGTAAGTATGAATGAATGACTAAGAATTATTGTTGAGTGAAAGAAAATATAATTATTGCTACCATGGCTTATTGACTACATACCCAATGTGATATCTGAATTATGGGAAAGATATGTGTACTGTCGTTATTTAGTTTACCTCGGCTAACAATTTACAATGAGAATCATACAATAAGATCATCATACTAAGCAAACACAACTACGATTTAAATATTTTGCTGCTTATCAATGTGAATCCTTCTGTTTTCTATATTTCCAAATAGGACAATCCATAATAACATGATAGTTGAGATACCTGATATATCATTTTGTACCAGTCTAACATATCTGTAAGTCTATTCACAATTTTATTTGTTTGCAGTTTCGCATTTGAATTGACTGTACACAAATTTGTGTACATATACAATTTGACTTCATGTGGTATACTTTTGCTGTTTTTATTTGTCTCTTGTAGAATAGTTGTCAGTTGTTTTACATGACTGCGGTATAACTTTCGTTTAATTACTGAGGGATACAATATCGTTTCGGAATATTGTTCTATTACATTCTTCATGCATAACATTATGCCTAATATGTAAGGACTAGAATAAAAATGTTAACACTAATACAAAAGTATATCAAGTTACTAACAATAGCTTTTGGAAACACCACAGGTCAATTAATGTGCTATTTATTCTATACGGGCCTGATACGTGGCATAGTTATCAAGCAGCTAACAGTGCAGTGACATTATTTTTGATTTTATTCTTTCAGAGATCTATCTCGAAATCAGATACAAATATTTACAGCTACCTATACAAATTATGTTTGGCCAAGTACATTGCAGAAAGTGTGAGTACCACTTTTTTGGTTTAAATGGTGTTATCGTTAAATTTCATGAAAGGCAATTTGATGCAAGTGAGAACATGTCTACTTTTTCAGGAGTTTAATGGAAAATAGCATAGATTGGGTTCCAGATGGTTTGTTCAGTAATACCAATATTCAGTTTCTGTGAGTATTACACATCTCTTGTGAAACAATTTAAAATCATTTACGTATGTAAATCAGCATCTGTATAACTACAGCATATTATTGTTTGTAAAAGTGTCTTATCTACGGAAATCTGTTAGCATGATAATCATTGAGTGTATCCATAATATTCTATTGGCTATATATATGTGATAATTTAAAGAATGAAATGCATATACAATCACGAGAACATATTGGCTATCATTTCACTTATTGCTTACCAAAATGCTGAACAAATGAAAATATTGAAAATGTTAGTCAGTGAAAAATTATTTCACGGAAATTCTGTCAAAAATGCCAAAAGATAATGATGCTAGTTAGTTATGTTTTATTTATTCGAGTGTATATAAAATATACAATAATTTCTAACATGATACATCAAATACAATTCAACATCTTTGTAATCATCAATATGTGTATCTTTCAGCGGTCTTAGCAATAATAATATCTCAAGAATACCGGATGCAGCTCTTCAAAACATGCATAGTTTGATATTTTTGTAAGTATGTTGTTGCTGACAATGTGTGGTACATTCCAGTCCACTTCGAGTCATTTTTATTGTGTATTTATATATATATATATATATATTTATATAATTTAATTTCTGGCATATAAACCATGTGACATTTCTCATGCGAATGTTTATACAAACATTAAAATAGACAGGTGTATTAACTTACATTACTAAGGAATACAGTTACACACACTCAATCTTAAAATTTACAATATTATCTTATTTGCATACAAATTATCTGTTACTTTTACCTTGAAGTACGCTTTCAAGATGACTGTATGACAACAACATTTCACTCCCTAGTATTTGGGGAATATCTGAAATAAACGTACATTATCCTAATTTTAGATCCTTGGATGGCAACAAGATCAAAAGGATAACTAACAAAAATCTTGCCGTACTTACCAGTCCAACATTCCAACACCTGTAAGTAACCAATCAGATATCTGAACTTTGCGTGTATGTTCACAAATCAACAATAAATGCTTGCGCGAGTTTCTCGATATATTGACTTAAGAAATCTAATACTCATGTTATAACTGAACTGATTTCTCGTTTTTACAGTAATGTGAGTAACAATGTCATCAACTACATTTCGATCAATGCCTTGAGACGGCTGCGTAATCTGGCAATTCTGTAAGTGCTATCCATTGTTGTATTTCAAATTCACACCTGTGTTATGATATGGATTTTAAACATAAATATCCCCAGGTAAACAAAAACATTTTAAAAACATTTTTATCAACAGGGAATTACATGACAATGAATTAAGAAGTACACCGTGGAAGACATTCTATGACATGCCCAAACTACTACATTTGTATGTATACAAAGAATTATTATTTGTTACATTACATTACAGTTCCAGTTCTAAAATTCATTTTTCTAGTTTTTCTATTTCTAATTATAAATTTAACAAGTTTAATTTAGGCTAAACTGATGGATTCGTATACGTTTGATCTGAAACCAGTATTTACTGCTTTTGCAAATAATGAACAAAGAGTATGGCTAATTGTCGACCAATGCAATATTATGGATGTGAGAATGTGAGAAGAATTTACCATCCTATGAAACTATTCAGGAATGTTTAAAACTCGTGATTGTGCCGTAATAATGTCTCATTTCTTGACAGAGATTTGAACCACAATTACATTAAAGTACTTACCAGTAGGTCGTTCAGCACGATGCCAATATTGCAAACATTGTAAGTATATTACATTTGCAATATTAATGAAAATGAGAGGATGTACTAATAAGTTTTTTGTGAAACAGTCCACTTTGAAGCACTAAGTGAATGTTCTAATGTCGTTTGTTATACATCCGTCATTGTCTCATATTTCATTTTTTATTTAGGGTGTTACATTCACAAAAAGCTCCATATCAGATGACAACGATCAAATATGATGCATTCGATGGAATATCTAACGATCTTACAACACTGTAAGTCAACATAATTTTCTGTACAGAATATATATTCTGTGAGAACATTTTAACAGTATAGCATCAGGCTTGTATAGTGTCAATGACAGTTCGTAATTACAAAGAAAATTACAGTTTTAATTGTATACATCCTGCAATATGATGATATACCATCATCAACAAACATCATAAATTACCATCAACATAAACATTTTGGGTAAATCATGGAATATTTAAAGGATGGTCTACGAGCATCAGACGTTGCTGGAAACGAGTTATATATCACTTTTGGTATACAAGGCAAATGCCCTCATCAACAAACATCATGAATCATCATCAACATAACAGTTTTAGGTAAATCATGGAATAATCCAGTAAGGATTAATGATATTTAAAGGATGGTCTGCGGGCATCAGACGTTGCTGGAACCGAGTTATATATCACTTTTCGTATACAAGGCAAATGCTGTTCGATGCAGTCCACACATTATTTCAAAGAGCCTGTCAGATTTTGAAACATTAATCTCTCTATAAATACTCTCGGTCAGCATGACAGTGGCTCTTTGGTGCACTATGTACACTATAGAAAACAAATGCCAAATATCAATTGCAAACTTATTTAATTAAATGTCTTTAATACTGTTATTAGTGTGCATCTCGTCATCCACGACATAGAAAAATTTTGCCCATACAACAGTGATCAGGAATCAATTCGTACATTGAAACCCAGCAACAATGAAACCACAATGGTACAGCTGTCAATATACTTCATTAGAATACATGCCAATCAGTAAGCATGAACTGTGTAATATCGTTCTCGGCGTCAAAATCAGAAATAAAGAAACTGATCTCAACTCTAGAGGCCCCAATCACATTATTATGGGAAAATTGTTTTTAAAAAAGACTTCTAACGTAAAAAATGTGGAAAATGAAACGCCTTTCCGTTTGCGGAATTATCATATTAGTTTAGAACAAATATCGTAAACTCCTGTGAACGTTATAGAAACATTTGTTCTTTAACAGTTTGGAGGAAAATAACACCAGTCACAGTTAAATGAGAAACGTATACCCATAAAAAGTGGTAGAGTAGAATAATTAGTTCAACAGCTAAATACCTAAATACAGTTTTAATATGTCAACCAGAGTTTTTTTCAGAACAAAACAAAATACACTATATCTTGTGTTATGCAACATTGATTTCTTATGTGGAATTGTTATTATAATTGTGTATTATATACTTCTAGATTATGCCACGTAGTGTATTAGTATTTGCTCAATCTAACACTATTCTTATCCTCTGTTTGTCACCCAGATTTATCAGTGATAATAAGTTACCATATTTTCCTCATGCTCTATTTGAAGGGGAATCCTATATAAGTTTGCGATATCTGTAGGTATCTGTATTTTTTGAAAATGTACCTTTTATCCGTATAACTATGTGGCAATTGAATATTGTAATTTATGTGTTATAGACGTTGACAGATTTTTCAAAGAAATAGAAACCGGTGTATGTGAATGAACATCAATCATAACAGTTTATGTATATCTTTAGTTGGATATTTTATATGATTCAGAAATGAGTCGATCTTTCAACTTAAATTGGGTTGTCCGAAAATACTATTTGAGGGATCGAGTTGGCCTCGGACTTTGTTTGTGTACATCGCCATCGAAACTTCGCTGCATTATTCATGTTTTTGTGTTTACATCGTTGATTAACTTTCTAATTTTTAGACATGCTGATCATAATGACATCAGTAACATGACTACTTACTCTGATGACCAATACACCGCTACAACTCTAGTGTACTATAATACGAAGAAGTACAATGTGGAACTGTTTGGAACTGCACGTTATTTACAAGAATTGTATGTAACATTCAAATATTCATCTACAAATATACAAATGTGAATACACAAATGTATATACTGTTGAAGGAAAATATCTGTTTTCTTGACAACTATAATAGTTTCTGAATAGCTAAACTTTACATATTTTCTAAAGAAGAATATCGTCTTATCATAAGTCACACATTGAGAACGATTACCCAATTTGAATAACATAATTTGACGTGCAGAATGCAGCCGATAATTCAATCAGTTAGAGCAAGTTACATAAAATCAAGTACGTGTTTCATAACAAGTTTTTACATTTCGCTCCTCGTGAGGCGTCTACCGTAAATCATATACATGTGTTAGAAAATTAAGCTTGATTACAATTTAGGATTGTGACTGAAATTTAGCCAGCCAATGAGATTGTTTTAATTTCAACCAATCACCTCCTTTATCTTTTCAAAAAACATGTATAATGCCATATTCATTGTAACTATTTAAGAACAAGACCAATATTTACTTTGAGAATATAAGTAGGAGACGAAACGTCCCTTCTAAGTTCTTTTGTTCGTTCATGGTTCGTTCATAGTTCGTTCAATAAAGTCATCTATTGCAGTCCATACGCGGTTTATTCTTCCATTCCTGAACTTAAACCTACTCTTCTTAACAATTACCACAACATGTGAATGAATTTTAAAATCATGAATATCAGAAGATTACCACTATATATCTTCACTATTCCAAAGATCATCCTCTTAATCAGAGAGGGGTGTTACAGCAACTGAATCAATTATAAAGTTTTGAACTACGAATGTTTATTTTGGCCTGTTATTTTTTGCAATATTTTATTCTAGATATCTGCATTATAATTTGCTACCCTTTCTAAGGACTGGAACATTCACCGATTTGGCAACACTGCAGGTGCTGAATTTAGCTGGTAACGGCATTACATTCACAGAAATAAACACATTTCCCGACTTACAGTGAGTATTACGTAATTGTGTATGTGTAGTAGCAGTTATATTACCAACTTACGCCTGTATACTGTAATATTTTGATTTGTAGGTATGTTTGTTAGTAAAGTTGTATACGTCGCATAATAACGACTATGTTGCTTTTAATATCCCTAAATTTAACATATGTGATGTATAATTATTTGATTTTATTCAAATTCTGTATTTAAAGATCTTTTAATTGCCTGTCTGATCTTCATATTCTGTTGTCCTCGTGGACAAAACTTACAAACACTATTAGTGTCTGTTTGGAAATCATATCAAAATAAGCAAGTTGGACTTATTGAAAATAATAATTTAACTTACAAACAAATGTTGTTTAGTAAAAACCATTAAATGATTGGGTATGTTGTTTCCATTTGACCTACAAATAATTAGTTCAAACGTGTGAGTGACACTGATCATTAATTATTGTCAATTGTATTCATTTCAGCTACCTTGGAAATACTCTCTACAATTGTAGTGATGACTGTGATAGCACATTGAGGACTTTGGATTTGTCGTATAATCAAATTAGTTATTTCCCAGATTTGTCTTTCGACTATTCTACCAGTCTTACTAATCTGTAAGTAATCAAAGACTTACTGATGGCAATAAATGTTGAGTCGATGATTTGAATACATTATTGTTTCAGCTCATGCTACAGAAAACTCCATTGTAATACGCACAACAAATGCACTGAAGCTGAATATGATAGCGAACAGTGGCACCATAATTCTTGCATTCGCAAAATCGCGTTAGTTTAGGATAATGATTTATAGGTGGTTTGGGGAAATTCGGGCTTTTGGCGACGTAAGTTATTTAAGCTCATTTTAACATGTACATTGTGCTTCCAAATTTTACAACCAACTAACCGGTGTATTGATGGGTAGGTGAAAAGGGGGTGAACAAATTATCTTGACACAGATTAGGATTGAACGTTTAACATTTTTGAACAAATAGACGCAGGTTTCAAAAACGCACCGACATTACCAGATGTAAGGATCACTTATGTTGCACTATTGTTATCTAAAAATCAGAAGTTGGATTTAATGGTTGACTTGCCTTTTGCAATGAATTTGTAATTGTAACATAATTTATTCCACTTTCGATTTTTCATTCTAGATATTTGCAGAACAATAAATTGACATTTCTAGTAGCTGAGACATTTACTGGACTTATAGAACTGCAAATATTGAATCTTGATAGTAATGATATTATATCAATAGAGAACAACACATTTCCTGACAGCATCAGAACAATGTAAGTTGAAATATTATCGTTTAAGTTGCATAGGATGTTTTTGTAAATGACCACAGTTCGTTTCATTTGCTTATTTTTGTCTCGTGTCATCGCGATATGAAAACCAATATCAATAACTGATTTCTAAACTTTGTTTTTCATTCAGTTCACTGAACTATAATTATTTCCGCTTTCTTCACGAAAATCCATTCTACAACCTGACCCAGTTGACCAGCTTAGATTTGTCTGGTAATGTTATCGATTACATCCCAGATACAGCGTTTGATCATTGCACAAGTCTAACAAATCTGTGAGTGCTGAAGAAGTATTGTATTTAATATACATCTGTTTTCATTGTAGTAGACGTTTCAGTGCGTCATATGGTATTCTAGCTCCCCCGGTCTGTCTATTCAAATCATTAGAGCATTGTTTAACCATTCAAAGATGCACAGTGGATAATTTTGAGTGGTTTCCAACATTTTAATTTTTTCTATAGTGATACACACAATGAAGTGAGGTTTATCGTTAAAGACAAATAGTAAATCTGTTGCAAGTGCCACGGTACTTAATTGCCTATACGTAAATTCAGGAAGTGTTAACCTTAGAGTTTTTATTAGAGTTTTGATATGTGCTGTGAAACAATGTTGCTTGAACATTGGGAAGTTCAATAGTTAAATCTTTCTGCTACAGTTTATTGTATAGATTTGATCGTTTTTTTATTGACAGCTACATTGACGGTAATCAACTTGGTCGTATTTTAAACACATCTTTTGAAGACTGCCCTCTAACGGGCACTCTGGATTTAAGCAGTAATGAAATTGCGTATATTGAACCCGGCTCTTTCGATCATATAACATCGATGTATAGATTGGATTTATCAAATAATCACCTGACATCATTACCAAGAGGCGGTGACTTTGTGAACATTAATATCAACAGACTGTGAGTATAATATTAATATATGATCCATGTGTACATTAAGTCAATCAGAGTATACTGTTATGTAATGTACACATTCGATGAACTCATAGACCATATTTTCATAAACCTCGAAATTACTGAACAACACTATGTGATTGGTAACCTTTTCGCTTTTGTTACAGTATACTGTCTAACAACAGAATTACATCATTACTTGGCGAGACTTTTCAAAACATGACTGGTGGCTACATTCTGTAAGTACATAATTGTAATGTTTAATGAATCCTAGACTAGGTTTCGTTGTTGTATATCTGATCGCCATGTGTGGGAGATAGAAGACAGTTCTTTATTAAATGTTACGCTTTATACTGAAATGTCAAGCTACATTGTAAATCACCTGATTTAAAATAATCCCACACAATCTGTAATCTGTAAAATCTACGTTCTTTTCAGTGATCTGCAAAACAATGACATATCAACCATTGCGTCATATGCATTTGACCGTGTCAGTGCATCGTACATGTAAGTACAAACTGACATTCTTATTTCAGGTGGGATATTTGTGTTTCAATAAAATCATGGATTGATATTTCTACTTACCAAAATAGTGTAAAATTAAACATTGATAAGTATGGAGAAACCAGATTATAAGAATGTTCCTGGATATAAATGCTGATTCAAGATAACATGTCGCGACTGGATGTTTGTTTTTTGCGGGGATAAATTTGTGAGGTCAATAACAATACTATCACTGGCAAATAGGAAAAATTATTTTCAAATGGAATAAGTTATAAAAAAGAAAATGCATTTTGTCGTGCATTAGTCGAATTGTGTTTTGTTTATTGTTATATAATTTGTATATAACTGTATGACTGTAGCATATGGATGTTATACTGATCATGAATGGTTATCAAACTCAAGGAATATCCGTGACCTAACTTTAAACATGAAGTATACCAAAAAAACAATGACTGCCATTGGGTTACAGGTAGCGTTGTTATTCAGTAGCTCGTTATCTGGAGACTTTTATGGCGTGAATACAAATGTAGTCACTGTAGCTGTAATATGTAGCTTTAAGAACTAACATTGTTCTTGAATTCTAAATTGAGCTAAACCATGGCGCTAATCTAATAATTGTTGTATCTATGTAATGTTATAGTTACCTGACAGGTAATCCACTAAATACATTATCGCCGTATTCGTTTAACGACGTTGGAGCTTCGTACCTGTAAGTACTTTGATAGAAATCAAATACGCATCTGACGACCGAAGATAATTATTCAATGAACTAGATTGAAATTCAATTTGTGACACACTTCGAATGTGTGTTTGTTTCATTTGAGGTTAAAATACTTGAAGTTAGCGTCGTTATGTTGTGCTTTAAAAAAACTTTGATCTGTTAACAACGTTTCAGATATTTGCAAAGTATGTTACTGCAAACCATACCACCACGTACGTTCAATGGCATTAGGATAACTTATTATTTGTAAGTATTGTGCTCACCCGGAATAAATGAAATGAGTTATTCTTTGATTAGTGCCATTTATTATTGTGTTGTGTTACAATGTATTAGCAACTAAAGCTTCTTACAGTGTTCAGTCCAAAATAACCACCATTTTCATTTAGAAATCTAAGAATCTTATGCGATGTTTTGAGTGAATATGGCACCTATCATTATCCGCAATACTATATACATTGACACAAAGTTGTCTTTTTTTCTGTTAAAAGTGTTTTAATAATGTGTTCCAAATATCAAGATAATATTATTAGGCAGTTTCAGTTTTATTTTTCAATCGCATTCTTTATAATCTGATGTAATAAAACAGGTCAATAAAAATCATTTGCACCACAACTATGGTATTCAATAAAATAATATTTTGTTTCAGATACTTGTATGAAAACCAGATTGAAAAGATTGAGTCAGAGGCTTTCAGCGGAACGGTTGGATACCTGTAAGAATATTTTATTTTTATTTTAGAATTGAGCCGCTGTGTGTCGATAGTAAATAGGGAATACACGAGTCATTCTTAAACGCTTGGTATTATATTTGTATTCACTTTTGTTATGGAAAGTTGATGATATATGCATGCATGGTTTGCTCACGACACACATGCAAAGCCAATCGCATTAAACAATAATTTATGGCGTACTATCTACATAAGTATACATTAGTATGAGTAAAACTCAATCTTTTAATATGATATTTATACTTTCAGATATCTGTATAGAAATAAGATTGAAATTATTGAGTCAGAAGCATTCACTGGAATTTTTCGAATGTAAGTGTGGTTATTGTGAGTAATCCATCAATTATCCACAAGAATATCACTTATCTTAGAAATCAACCTTTCTCAGGATCGATCTTTCCTTTACCATTTCCATTGTAAATTTGGTATGTTTAAAACAACTAAGAAGTGCAGCGTACTTCATGAGAAAGAAACCACGTCACTTTGCTCTGAAACGTATTAAGATATAGGTAAACTGACATTTCAGACAATTAAAAATATGCTTTTATTATAGTTTGCTATCATATTATTCCTTAAATGTTGGTTTCTTATGTTGTTTTTTCTAGTTATCTTTACTCTAATTTGATCAGAACTATCAACAGTCCAATGTTTGGGAGTGGATCAACAGCGTACATATTAGATCTGCATGACAACAAGATTTCGAAATTGACTGCTGATGTCTTCACAGGGGTGAACATCGTGTATAGTCTGTAAGCTATTCATATTCATATATAATTTAGTCGAAATCAAAGTAACTACGATTTAAGGTGTGCATATTTTATTGATGTTATTTTTCACAGATATCTTCAGAACAATATATTTAGATGGTACCCTGCCGCTGCATTGTCAAATCAGAATTTGCAAGAAATAACACTATCTGATAATCAAATCACCACAATACCCATTTCAGCCTTCAAATCACAGTCCAATTTGAGAAAACTGTACGTATAACAAATCTATACATTAACTGTAACCATAGCCATCTCAATAATTGCTCCCTGCATTAATAACCGTAATTATATGTTTACAGTGTGTAACAATTACACTCCTTTTTTAGTTACTTGGATAATAATCTATTGGCTGAGCTTCAAGACGGCGTCTTTGATGGTCTGAATAGTCTAGAGACACTGTAAGTGTTTTCAAATTGATATCAATATACAAAGTTTATGAGAACGATAGAATCGCTTACGAAACACTCATGTGTACTGCATTCAGACATGGCGTAATAAACACTCAAGTGATGCAGTCGCTTCTGATTTTATACATGTGTATTGCTAACCAGTATGTATCTTTATTGATGACTCATTTTACAGGAGCATAAGAAATAATAGACTATGGTACATTTCCCCTGGCGCGTTGGATGGTCTTTCTTCCGTCAACGACATGTAAGAATATTTATTGCATAGGACTAGTGATTTTATTTCTTTGTTGTTTTGGTTTTGTCTGAATTCGTGGTATACAAAAGCCATATATAATTCACCGTTGTCAGTTTCCGATTTTGTCGTCATAGATACATATTCTGTTCACTTTGAAATATGGTATGTCCTTACTGGCGGGTTCTTATTGTTTTGTAAAATTACATTTTCACACGGTGACTTGCTTTAAAGTTTTGTTTTATTCCATTTTAGATTAATATCCCATAATGCAATAGAATATTTACCAACATTACCAGTGCTTACAAAACTCCGGAGACTGTAAGTAAATTATTTATTTTGTTTTTCAAAATAAGTTACAACATCAGATGACTTCAGTACACGTGTCCTTATTTGTATACACAGTATATATGTATGTTTTATATGTTTAATTTCAGAGATATGTCGTACAACAGTATTGAAGCTATAGGACCAGCTGCTTTTCAAAAATTAAACGCGGACCTGTTTAAAGACGTGTAAGTTAGCTTAAAACGCACCAATATCAATGGCTTCCTAACATTCCTGGATGCTCAACAACGAGATTGATAGATTCTTAGTTATTATGTCCATATTTTATCTCCCCTCCAGTAATTTTGCAAATAATCCATTGGGGTGTGACTGTATTACGTATTATTCATTGAAGTATATGAATGAGTCAATTAAAGGTGGTGAATGTGCAATGCCTGCTGCTGCCAGTGGTGTAACATGGGTATACAGTGACAAAGAAGAAGATAATTACTTTGGCAATGTGAACAAGAAGGTGTTTCTGTGTGGTAAGTGACACCAATAAAAGCTTCGAGTTTGTAATGGAAATTTCACATGGGTTCGAAAATCATTATGGACACATCCACGTTTTATACTGAACGTGTATTTGCTTACCTGTCTATTCAAACCCTGGGGTATAATTCCATATATGTCATGTCTATGTTTTTGCATAACGTTGTCCATTATAGCTGCTGCTAGTGTCAATACAAGTGCACCTCATCTTTACGAGTTATTAGTAGTGTGGAATGAACCCACTGAAGAATATCCTGGCGGTCCTACCAGCCGCAGTGATACATGGTAGTATTTGCATATTTGTCTGTTATTGTGATTATAATATATACCCGGATGTATATGTGCGCAGAAGTATATTGTGCTTTCTGTTTGTGATGGTGCATGTTTATTTAGTCACTATAATAAACTACACGCTATTTCAAGCTGTCGTTTTGGGGGAGTGCGGATGATTGTAGTACAAAAACGCATTTGCTGTGATTGCTTGTTTGAATTCCGTGGTTCGTATGTGTGCTTGTAAAACAAGCTCAGTGTTATAGGCAGGCCCTTTTTTCATTCATGCAACTGATCATTAATTGCTATACAATGGTATATTGGAACGCATTTTTACATATATTACATTGAGTTAGATACTTCAAACAATAGTAGCTATACCTATATACAAGAGATTCCGTTTTTTATATGAACTACTTAATTATGCCTATACATTGGAGGGCATTAGTGTACTAGTATGTATCTTATCGAATGTATTATTGCATGTTTCACAAAGCAACTGAAATAAATTATTTATAATTGTTAATAGGAAAGATGTACAGCATGTGAGTAATGGAATATATTCTTTCTACAGGGAATATATAGTAATGTGAATGCTGATGTAAGCACATTGAGTGTAACAACTGATATAATCTCAACACAGAATCACCACAAAGGATTGAGTTTTATTTCGTCTTTCCATAGGGAATATATAGTAATGTGTGTAAATGCTGCTGTAAGCACCCTGAGTGTAACAACAACTGATCTATCTCATCTTTTCACTGCATCTGATGGCGTACAAGCTGGTGTGGATTACACATGTACAGTTCAAATGAGACTTGGTACTGACATTAGTGCATCCGGACAACCTTCCTATATCTTGACTTTAGAAACTTTGCCAACAACGAATTTAACAGAAATAAGACCTGTCGATTACATCCTTCCAATCACATACTATGACTTTAGGTAAGATCGCCATGTAATTTAATCGTAAAATTCACATTCGTTATTTGTCTGTTTTTGTTGAGCAAATTTACGTATATTTTACAACTTTGTTTTAAAGACCATGAATAATATTTTGGAAGAAGTAACATATGCTTCTTTGTTTTGCTATAGTTTATATCACCAAGATTTCACTTACGGAGACGATACAGTGAAGATAGATGCTCCCAAGTTTGTTTTCAGTCCCTATGGTAGTTGGCTGACAATATCCGACGCGCCTAAAAATGACACGTTCTCTGAATGGTTTCGGGATACAGACAGTAATTTTAAGTATGAACATGTATTACTGTTTCCCTGGAATGACACTTCAGGAATAGCAGATAATATGCACATGTGAGTATGCATTGTACATTACAGTATTACAATTTGCATAAACTATTCAAACCTATTGATATTGTAACACATTTATATTATGCTATCACTGCAGTACAATCAATTTCATGTACTAATAAAAGCAGCCAAATGGTATACACGTGCCTTGGAAAACGTATGGTATGGCAATTGGGACTTCTCCTAGTACTATACATATCACCTGTTGATAAAAATGTTTGGTATTGTAGTCATTACACTGCATGATCTGAAGTTATAAGCCTACTCATGAATGCAGATACCAATAAATTTTTATTTTCCAATAAATTATACCAGCTTAATTTTCGAAAACATTATGTTGTATTTCAGTGGATAGTGGCCATTTTGACATTATTATATCACTTTTACCATAGGTTCATATAGTTAGTATGTCATATCTCAAATTGCAGCCAGGTGACATAGGCTGAAACAATCATATATTGTTAATGAGTTAATGATAAGGTACTTATTGTTGTCATAAATATATTAAAAAATCTGGGTCAAAACAACTTTTCTTTAACATTGTGTTCTATAAGAATTGTTCTAAAAATAACGATTTTTTAAAAATAATAGAATAAGTTTCTCAAAATAAGTCACTGTAACACAACAAAGGAAGCTATTTCATGGTGTCATGGGACAATAGCTCCATGATTTTACATAATGGTCCTATGAAAACTGTCCTATGAGCATTTGAGTAGGCTTCTACCTTAAGCGGTAATGTTGTGTGCACAGCATTTTAAATTTCTATTAAATTATTAAATTTTTAAATGTTTTTAAGCAATGATGCAGCATTTATGTGTTTATTTGCATCATATTTAAACTACTCGATTAATATAACGACATTTTTATACTATTAGTTTCTTTTCTGACGCTTATTGGCCAATGGATACCCTGGGTTATAGATCAGAAGGAGTACAATATGACTGCAATTCACAGCTTAGAAACTTGGGGTGAGTCTTAAAGTCATATTTTGAGAACTTTGTCAGTTGTTTTTCATATTACATTTTTCGACGTTGGTCGGATTTTCTCAATATTTGCTACGCACATGTACTCATTATTTTAGCTTTACCAATGCAATCCGAGCTGGTTTCCGATTTCAAGGCACAGAACGTATAGTGGTTGGCGGTGCTGATGAATTGTGGTTATTTATAAATCAAGTGTACATGATTCAAGTTCATTCAGACTCAACACAATCAGCTGAAATCGCTTGTAAACAAATTGATTTGAGTAGTGTTGCTGATTCTGGTAAGTTTAACTAATTATGTCAGTCAGTTTTCTATCAACCCAAATGTTCCCGTGTTTTACCAATATAATTATTGGACATATTAAGTAAAACATTACCACACACAGATTAGTATATCATTATCGTTCATACAGGAGGTGCATATATTGTTCCACGGAGAGGGACAGTGGTTGATGGAAAGTGTAATGTTACAGAGACACTCCCAGATGAACAAGTGTTCATCAATCTTGAGGTATGTAGATGGTATACCCCTAGAAGTACAATACAGTTAAATGAGAAAACATCAGTGTTCAATAATTGTTTTTAGTTGGTAATTGTCGTGTTATAAATGTTAATAAACATAAAAGTGTTTACTGAGTGTGGTCCCTCTTCTTTGGACTGGTTCTTATAGAATGTAGTGCTGTTTGTTACCATTCTAGATCGACAACGTCTATCGTTTTGATATTTTCCTTACTGAAAGATTTGGATGTAATTCGTCATTCTACTTAGAAACAGAAGGAACAGAGTTTGTAGAATATGATGTAGAGCCACCGTTAGATTACCTTGTAAAACCAGATGAAGATTTTCATGTTGGTGGAACTATAGAAACTGTTGTAATAACAGATGCATTCTCAGTTGGTGATTACAATGTAACCATTTTACAAGGTTGGTAAACATTTATAGCCTGTATGTAGGGATAATACATTACGAGACGTGTGTTTTTATTGATAAATCTTTGTCGGAACGTTTCCAATGTAATATGATAATTTTGGAGTGCACTTTGTTTTTCTTATGGATAATTACATTTTTCACAGGAAATGAAGCACGTCATTTCACTATTATTGAGGATACTCCGGCTAACCGTGTTGATGTACTACGAACTACTACTGTAAGTGCCCCAGTTACGGATACAGTCAATGGAACTACATTCTTGTTATGCATGGAGCCTTCCGTCATTAGTGAGTCACAATGCTAACATATCGTAAGACCATATATTTATGACTATTTTGTTTATAAATAAATGTAAACATTGCCCAAACGATTTTAGTAACCTTCTAATGTGATTTTTCTAGATGAGGAAGCAAATGTTCCAGGAACACAAGAATTCCGCATTACAACCAATACAATATTGATAAGGCTGGACAGTGAATTAGATTATGAAGCTGCGTATCAATACATACTCATTATCCGTGTTATTGATAACAATGCATATCTGACAGAAAATGGTAAAATTGTTGTTAAGGTATGTGTGGAACTACACATATCTATACAGAGTAGGAATCTAGTCTTATCTAATATTGAATAGTGTCTCTATTAACAAGAACAGTGACTGTATAACTGCTCAAAATGAAACATTTTATATTTTAAGTGGATATAATAGTAAAAATACAAAGTAGAAAAATACATTGTAGCAATCTAAATATCTGTATGTAATGTTTCTAGATCGTTGTTCAAGATGTAAACGACAACTGTCCGGAATTGAATGATTCATCGATTATTAGCCTGTACCCCCAACCTGTCCTAATATCGGACTCACTTATTCTTGTCAATGCAAGTGACATTGATAGCAGTTTAAACGGAGAAGTTTCTTACCATGTTTCAGAATACAGTGTGAGGTGAGTTAATTGCTGTCGCTGTTGTTCTGGTCTTGGTTGGGAAGTGCTTGGTACTGGTACTGGTATTGGTATGACTAGAAATGTTTAAAAAAAGAGTGATACAAGATACAATATTCCATGAAACCAAAATCGTTTGTACAGATGTGAGAACTTGCAAGGATTAAACGGTTTTGTTTTTTTAAATCGAACAGACAGTTGACAATTATTTTTCAAAAATCAATGCGAAACTATAATAACACACGCAATATATGTATAGTAGCGATAAAAGCTATGGCTGTACAAACTGAAATGTAAATACTCATTTCAGGACTAAATAAGGACACACAAAGACCAGAACTTTCTAAGCGAAAAAAAAGAATATACGTTGCAATTGTTCCTTATCTAGTAGTAATTCATGACCATCTGTTTGTAGACTATATCCAAGATTATTATGGAATCAAATTAGAGAAAATCGTTTAACTATTTCCTTGTTAGACTTTATTCAGATGTTCTGTCAAGTACTAAATCTGAACTTATACATAGCTGAATTTCCATGCACTTTCTTTCTATTTAAATGTTAAATAAAAAAATCTAATACCAAACGTCGATTAATTTTTGTATATGATTAAAGTAAACAATTTAACAGAAAATAGAGAAGATTCGGTTCTCATTCTGTTATATACTAA